CTTATAGTTTCTTACCAGTACCAAACAACAGTCAGTGTATTAGTTTCAGAGCCAAACAGACCTGATTCAAAAGTTGACCTGGGCATTTCCTCAGTTTTTACCTTGGCTAAATTGCATAATTTCTCTAAGTTTCAGTATGTAGGCTGTTGTAAAGATTAAATATTTATGATATGCTTAGAACAGTGTAGTACCTGACATATAATCCTCATTAATGTTAATTATTACTGGTAGCACTAGTAAAAATTTTCTATTGGCCTACCCTATTGATTTTTAGAGCCATTGGTTCTGCCATTGAACAATTACATCATAGGCAACAGAGGCATCAAGACAGATAAAAACTATAAAAGGAAATGCTTCTTAAACTTTGCCCAGAGAGCAAAGGGGGATGTGGGATTTCCTTTACTAAGACGTCTTGAAGCTAACCAATAGACTATAAGTAAAGGAAACTGAAAAATGAAACTCTCTTCTCTTTGCCAGTATCGAACAGGATGGTTGTTGGCCCTAGGATGCCTTCTCAGCAGGTTGGCTCCTCCTCTTCTAAGTAAAGGAAATTAAAAAGTGAAACTTTCGGTGTTTCTCCTTTCTGCAGCACAAGTTCATGTACATAGTATTTATCTATTATCAACACTCAGAAGAGAAGAGGGGGGGTAGGTGAAACACACAGTACACACATGAAAGTTACCACCACCCAGTGGATGAAGCCAAACTGTCTCCTTTGATCTGTCACATATTTCATAAGTAATCTTGGCCTGCAAACCCATGCCCAGTTTTTTTCACTTTCCTTTCTTCTAAAACTGATTCTGGAGCTAATCCAACTAGCAGAATGACTTGGAGATTTTAGAAACAAACAAACAAAAAATAAGACTGTATACAGTGGTTTGATGATAAAAAATGTGGTAAAAACTTCAAATGCATACTATATTCAAAATGATTATTCCATTTAATGCTAAGTCCACCTACGTACATTTTTCCTTGTTTTGCACTTTTTAAAAAGATTTTATTTATTTGTTTTTGAGGGGGTGGAGAGAAAGGGAGGGAGAGAAACATCAATGTGTGGTTGCCTCTCACACACCCCCAACTGGGGACCTGGCCCACAACCCAGGCATGTGCCCTGACTGGGATTGAACCGGCAATGCTCTAGTTCACAAGTTGGCACTTAATCCACTGAGCCAAACCAGCCAGGGCTTGTTTTGCATTTTTTAAAGAAAATTTTAATGTGAAACATAAAGGAATATTTGGTAAAGTATAAATACTTTATACTACTGAGCTTTAAAATTTTATAATTATTACTTTCAAATTCCCAAGATATCAGAAAGAAATCCTACTTATAATATTCTGATCTAATTAAAAAACTAGATGTTTTGGGAAAATGAAAAATTGATTGTTTCTCATTCTTTTCAACATTCATACAGCTCATAAAATAAAATTCTACAGTTCTTCCTCATTTGTTCCACAGCTAAACTCAGATGATGTCATCGAAAACTTCGTGAAAAGCAAAAATCCATTTGGTTGTTTTGTTTTAGAAAGTTCTTAGCAAACAGAACAATTACTGCTATAGAGTAATGCTTTTGGAACTAACTTTGCTTTTGTAGCTAAGACTCTAGACACATGTTATCAAATACAAAGCCTTTAGGTATTTGTGGCTATAAAGGATCTTAAATGTGGTTAATCTGAATTAAGATGTATAAAATAACACACGGAATTTTAAAGACTTAATACCAAAAAAAGTTAAATATCTCATTAAAATTTTTTATATTGATAAAATCTTAAAATTATACCTGAATATATGGGAGATAAATAAAAACATTAAAATTATTAAAGTATTATGATAATACTATATTCAATTATAATAAAGTGATATTTGAATATATTGGCTTACATAAAACAAATAATAAATCATTAAATTTTATTACATTAGTATTACATTTAAAAAATGGATTTTATATGTTCCTTTCTGCTTTTTTAAACAATGCTACTAGAAAACTTTTAAATTATATTTTTGGCTTTTATTATGTTTCTGCTGGACAGTGCTGCTCTAAAGCAGAGCGTTATTTCCACTTCTAATACCTCATTACTCTCTTTGTTGAAGCACACCTATTCATCAGTTCTCTTAGGGAAAGCAGAGGACTATCTGTTTTTTTTCAGAGTCAATCATATTGTAGCTAAGAAATAAGCCCTTCTTTACTTGAAAGATGCAGTCAATCATAGGTGGGCCTGCTCATTCACAGGGAACTCAGTTTCCTTGCCATTAGTTGGAAAACTTTGCTCACCTCTGTGGTTGGTATTGGGATTTCTGGGCCTGGCATCTGGACAAGGTCTTCTGTCTTCCATGTCTAAGTCACTTGAATTCTTCCACCTTCAGATTCCTTTAAGTTGCCTGGAAATCTATACAGGTTGAGAGGAATTAATGCCCTTCAAACACAGCATCTAGCAGCAAAAAACCAAAACAGCATTAAGGGCATCCTTCTGCCTGTACATCTTAGTTATTTGTTAACCAAGAGTTAAATGCAGATTTTAATCACGGACCATGTTCAACTCTAAACATTCAATTATGATATAAAAACACTGAATTCACAATTTAGGTGACTTCAAGGGGTCAAATTCCCCCTTTCTCTTTATTCCTGTACTTTTTCAGGATAGAGGATGTATCATTTATTCCCATTCAAAACTACTGTTTGGTTTAAAAGCCTTTAGCCAAATTACCTAACCACCTGTTAGGTTTCATTTTCCTTTTCTATAAAGCAGATAAACATTGTTGCCAGGACAGGATGAAGTATTCTGGTTAATCCAAGAACTATGCATGTACCACCCCGTTCAGCATTTATACCATATAGCATTCTACAGCTTACAGTACTCTATAGTTTGTAAATAATTACTGAGTAGTTATCCCTTGTCCTACTCTTTGGATGCAGCCAAACTAAGTTCTCCATTCTAGTGAATTGAAATAAAGAAAACTACGTTTCAATAATCAGGAGGCTTAGCATCTATGGGATGCTGTTTCCTCAATCCCCTACAGATTTTCAGTTCTTTCCTTCTCCTCCTTTTACCTTGATTTTTGACAATGGTCCGGTAAGTGGAAGAGAACCCATTAAAGAAACTGCTCAACGCTACTCATACACACCCTGTGGACTAGGGCTTGGGAGAAAGTGGGTGGCTCGGAGTCCTCAGGAAGGGGATTTTTGAGACTGTCCCTCTCACTAAGTTTTTAAATATTCATGGTTGGAAACTGTGAATAGATTTGGCATTATATGAGGAGTAGCTTTTATCCTCATCAGAAAAAGGAGGCCCTTTCCTTCCTGCTGGCAAAATTTTTGGCAAATCTCTTCCTTCATCGTATCAAACCCAACTCTCATGGCTCAAGTTCAATATTGAGGTTTGTTTTGTCTTCATTTAAAAAAAAAAAAAAAAAAAAAACTGTCCCAGGGGAAAACTCCTTCTTCCTCTTGTGCTGGGGGGAAAACAAAACACTAAAACAGAAACTCAGAAATTTTCTGAGATAAAAGGAATGGAAGAAAAAAGAAAGGCAAGGCAAGGAAGGGGCTGAAAGAAACAGGAAATGCGATGACAAAAGCAGCCTAAAGTGGGTTTCCTTGGGAATCAAGGCCTAAAGGGCAGGGAGAAGAAAATCACTGATGGCCAAGCTGGTACAGGGATGTAAGGGCAGGCGAACGGCAAGTACCAGGGCGGGATCAAAGAGGCCGCAACGAGGGGCCAGAGCTGGGTTTCGGGGGAAGTCTCCAGGGTCCTGAGACCGAGGAGCCTCTGGCCCCAGGAGCCCTCCGGGGCCCGGTAGTGGTCCCAAGGGGTCGGGGGGAGCCGGGGCTGTGCGGCGGCATGAAGGTGCCCTGGCCAGGCTGAGGCGGGGAGTGGGAGGGAAGTGGGAGAGCTGAAGCGGTACGGGGCCTCAGGAAGAAGGGGGGGGGGGGGCTGAGCCCAGCGGGGGTGCCTGCTGAAGTGATGGGGAACCTGGAAACAAGGGTGGGGAGGCTAGATATTGAGGGTGCTTCGTAGGAGACGGGCGATGGACGGGGTGAGGACAGAGAAAGAGGAGCTGGCTGTGGCAGAAAGTGAAGGTAGAGACGGGGGTGGGCGGCAGAGCCGAGCCAGAGGAGGAGGCCGGAGGTAGAGGTGGTGGTGGAGGGCTCTCTCTGGGTGGACAATGGAGGCGCTGAGGGCAGAGGAGGTGAAGTTGGGGGCCGAGGTGGTGCTGAGGCTGGGGATGTAGATTGACAGGGGAGCTGAAGGGGCAACGGGAACGCTGAGGAGAGGGCACAGGGACTCTGAGGTGGAAGGCGGGGGCGTTGAGGAGGAGGAGGATGGAAGTGAGACAGAGAAATGAGAATCGAGAGTGATGGAAGTGACAGGCGCTGAGCAGGGGGCAGGGGGCGCCCGGGGTCGCGGGGGCCCGGGCGCGAGGCAGGGGTCGCTCACCCGGCTCCGGCGCGTCCTCTCGCCGCCGCGGCCGCCGCCGCCTGGTTTTGGAGTTCGGGTCTAGGCAGGTCCGCGGTTCCGCCTAGAGCCGCGGACTTTCGGTTTCCTTTCCTCGCAAACACTGGGAGAGAAGGGCGGGAGGGGCGAGAGAGGCGGGCGGGGAGAGAAGGCCGGGCCGGCAGCCGCGAGGACAGAGGAGGAGGGGCCCTGGCCCTGCCGGCTCCCCCGCCCTCAGACCCGGCAGGGGCGGACAGGCGTCGCCTCAGCTTCCCGCGGCGGTTCGGGCGGGTGCGGCTGAGGGGAAGGGACTGCGGGGGGCCGGTGAACAGCGCCCCAGGCCGTTGCAAGCCTCCGCCGGCCCCGAAAGAGGGGGGACTCGGCGGAATTCTTGGTGCGTGTGCAGCGCGACATGGCGGCCTAGAGTGTACAGGAAGGGGGCGGTGCTAGACCGGTCTTGACAACTATTAGGTACCATCCGAGACTACATTTCCCAGGCGGCGCTGGGGGAACAGGAAGCACCTGGGGTCCAGTGCGCAGGCGCAATACCGCTTCTGGTTATATAAGCGCCGTTTCGGAGCGCGTCGTTCTTTCGCGCCTGCAGCTCTTTTTGGGTGTCGTTGCTTTTCGTCTCCTGCATCGTCCTCATCCGATGTCATCCCGCCCTGAGAACTCCGGGTTATTACCATATGTGGTGAGTTTAGACCAGTTTTCTTTTCAAAATTTGTTTCTCCTTTTCTCTTTTTTGCCGTCGCCTCTGCCCGTAACACCTCTTGCTCTGACCCTAACAGGCCTTCGGGCCTCGCGGGAGATCAGTTAGAGCTGGAAAAACCCGCCCCCCAGTGTACGGACCTGAGGAGTCCTTGGCTGGTGAAAATGATGACTACTTTTTTTCCCCATCGGATCGACCATGCTGATACCTTTGAATACTTGCCAGTTAGTTCTGATACACCAGCCTCAAAAGGCCCGGCCATGTTCTTTTCCTACGGTGGGCAGATGGCAACTGATGCCCTCCCTTTGTTTTGCAGATTAGTGTGATCCAAGGGTACAGAATGGATCTCGAAGGAGAGGGGGTCGTTGCCGGGCCTCCAAGGGAACGCCGACGTCGTGTAGACAGCGAGAACCTTTGGCCTCCTGACCTTTGGTGAGCAAGTCGTCTGGCCTACGTTGGGAAACACGTGCTCGGAGGGGCCACTTCCTTGTGCGAGCGGAACTTGGAAATGATTTAACGACAGCTAATTCCTGTAGAGCGTGTATTAATTAGGTAGTCCATAAAGTGCCCTGAATGTTTTATTATAATTCCCAAAAACGTACCTATTATGAGTTTATTTGAGCCAAATTGACTACATACACCTGGGAAAGCAAAAACTCAATGGATTGAGAAAATGCTCCAGAGAATGGCAGTTTTGGAGTATATTGTATACATCGGAGCAGTGACTTTCAACCTTTTTCGTCTCATGGCACACATAAATTACTAAAATTCAGCAGCGCACCAGAAAATACACCTTTTGCCTATTTGATTTTAAAAAATGGGTATAATTTTGATTCATTCACACTGGACAGCTATTGTGTTGGCTCTCGATATTTTTTTATTTGACAATCTTAAGAGAAAAGAGGTCAGTGCCACTGGCTAGTCAGATAATGCATGCCTTAAAAATTCTTAAGGCACATTGGTTGAAAATCCCTGCATTAGAGTCAGAGGAGGCAGGAGAAAGCCTAGCAAGGAAAGGTCTAGGATTGGATAAAATGCAAAGTGGAGAAACATGACCATTTACAGCCCATAGAGATGGTGTGCGGGGCACAAGGTAACAGTGAGGAGTTCTGTTCTGTGTCTGGTGTGTAAGTTTTTTTAATGCCCTTTAAAGCACATTTCAGATTACATTCCTTCATGTGTTTCTTGATAAACCGCTTTCTTGTGCACTTAAATTTGCAAATGGGTAGATGTGTCGGCATTTTTTAAAGGAAAGTCAACTGTTAATTCTGTTTACTAGGCACTTGTTTACATGCCTGGGCAGGACGTTGGGGCAGGGGAGGAGCATGTTTTTCTTGCTGTTCCAGAATGTCCCAGGTTTTTAGTGATTAACGCCTTAACATTAAAATGCAACATCCTGACACTTGGACAAAAGCCAAGCATTTCCCACAACTCTTGCCAGCCATGCTGGCTTGTATCAAATAAAAGCTCAGAAGGCAGGGGTGTTTGTCTTAGCTGCTATTTTTTTATTGCCAAAAAATGGAACACAAGTGCTCGAATACTGAATGAATTTGTAAGTGTAAAGCAGACCAACCAGATCTTATTCCTGGTTCAGGGCTCTTCGTGTAGAGGCCAGGAGCTTTGTGCTGGCATGTATGATGACTGATCTTTTTTCCCCAACAGATCGACCATGTTGATCTAACTTCTCTAAGCCAGTTTCTGTCTGATATGCCAGCTTGAACAGCTCCTAACCCCTCATTTCCTTAGGTACCTAGCAGATTGGAGCTCATGTTCTATGTTTCTTCTCAGGTTTACTGTTGACAGAAAGCAGACTTTGCGTGGACCAGGATGAATCAAGGAGTGCGAAAGAATTGGGAAGCGATGTGCACATTTTTCCTAAGTGCCCATGCCCACATGGCTGAACAGACAGAATCTGGAGAATGGAGGTAGTGATCGCTTTTCTTTTAAATATGGGGTTATCCTTGCATTGTATTTTCTGTGACTCAAATGTGGCCATTGCAGGTGATGACATAACTTTTTTCCCCATCAGATCGACCCTGTTGATCCAACTAAACTATTAGCCAGTTGTTGTCTGATGCATTGGCCCCGGATAACTTCTGTTTTCCGCTTATCACTCACAAATGATTTTATATGTGGGTTTTTTAAAGTGAGGGTTGGACTTGCTCTGGGTTTTTTTCCCCCCTTATATTCATGTCATTTATCTTAGTTTCATCTGTTAACTTGCTGCAGGTCCAGAGCCCTGTGTGTCAAGGGGCAGAAAGTAAGTTGATTGCAGCTTGATCTTCCCCTTGGCTCAGTCTGTAACAGGTAAGGTCTCTGCAAATGATGTTAATAAGTCATTGATAAAATGATTATTGCATGTGCCCAGGGTAGATGGGTTTTGAGTTTGCCTGCTTGGGAGTAACCTAGGGACCCAGTTCCAAGCTGGGGATATAATACAGAAGGGTAGAATTAAGTCCTCAATAGAAGACTGTATTGACCTATTGGTACTGCTAGGTCTTACAAGGGAAAAAAATGTGTTTCCAGACACGGTTTTTTGTTTTGACAATTTAAAACAAAACAACATGCCCTGACCCCATGTGGCTCAGCTGGTTGGGTGTCCCACAAAGCGAGTCACCAGTTAAGGTCAGGGTCAGGGCAGTACTCAGAAGCAGCTATTTAAAATGTTTGCTGTCTGTGTATAAATGCAGTTTTTGCGATTGGTAAGTTAGTATCTTACTGACCTTGAACCGCTAGACTGTTCTCCCACATAACTGACCTTTAAGAATATTAGTAGTTCCTTAGTGCCAGCTTACCTGTTTCATATTTAAATACCTCTTGTTAGTCTCTAAAGTATCTTGTATGCATTGCATTGGTGCTGTGTTACTCTAGAATCAACATAAAAACTTTTTGGTGTGCTCCTGGATTTCTCCTTGACTATTCCTTATAATTAGGATTTAGACTAGGCTGAGTTTGAACATTTAAACATGGTTACAACATACAGGCTTCATTGAGGTGCAGAAAGAGGTAGGTTGTCTAAAGATAGGAAATCTTGCTCTGGTAATTGGATAGTCATTCCACCTAGTACCTAAAGTTTTAACCAGATGTTCCCATATCCCAAACAAATAGCACTGCAGAATGAAGTACTGATTATAATCTACCTTTTTTCTTTCTAAGGAGTTTCTCATTGGTGGAGTTGGAGTACAAAGCCTCTTGGAAAAGATTGACCCTCTATTTTCCTGAGAAAGCATAATGTAATTTTGTAGGCTTCCTATCTGCAGAAGGAAAATAAAAAAATCCCTGAAATCAGAATGCTCTTGGGTTTGATCATTGGGGAATAAGAAACACTAAATGAGTAATTAACAGCCAAATGTGCACAGACTTCAAATTCCAGGGGTAGAGGGTGGGTCCCACATCTGCTTCACAGGTGATACATGAGATTTAATAGGTGGGAAGGGGCTATGCCCGAAGTTTTTAGTGAAACTGGAAAATTTCAATGACACGTGGCTAATCTGATTTCCTTTAGCTCCCCCCGTATATCCTGATTTCAGTCCCACCAGACACTTTGTTTGCTGCTTTGTCCTCTGGGCTAAGGGTTCCTGGGCAAATTGTTTAGCATCTCTAAGCCTCAGTTTTCCTACCTGAAATGGGGTTCATGACAGTGGCTACTTAAGAGAGTGTTGAGGTTATAAATTTATGTCTGTAAAGTGCTTAGCCTAGGGCCTAGCATAGTAGGGACACAGTTTACAGCTCGTGGCTCCCATCAGCTCTCCGCTTCTAATTTCCTACCTATAAAAGGCATGACATTGAGTAATACGAGGATTGAATGAGATACCAAAATGCTTAGTATAGCACTTGGCATAAAGTACTGTATTTTGCTATGTATAATGTGCTCCAGTATATAAGGCACACCCATGTTTTCGGCCCAAAAGGAATTTTTCAGGAAAAACTCGTTTTAATTCAATTGTATTTAGATGCGCTTTTTTTTTGTATTATAAAGGAATTTGAGCACTTCTGAACATTATGGTATAAGAAACTATATACTGGTAACAAATTTTTGATATTTACATACAGAAGTAGCACTACCCATGTATAATGTGCATCCTTATTGTCCCTCAAAAATTTGGGCAAACTGCACATTATAAAAGGTGAAGTGTGGTCAGTGCTCAATGAGTAATAGCTGTCTTCAGTACAAAGGAATGAACTAGTGCAGGGATCCCAAAGACATTACCCTGAGGGAGGGAATCAAGTTCCAAGCGGTTACATCCTCGACATTCTGGGAAAGACAAACTTATAGTGATGGGGAACATGATTCATGACTGCCAGAAATGCAGATGGTTAAGGGGTTTAAATACGAAGGAATGGGGCAAGGGGAGGTGACCTTATTGTGATTACACAAATTTCTACATGTGTTAAAATTCAAAAGGCTGAACAAGTTTGTTAGATAACAAACATGGGCTCTGGGCACAAATTCAGATTAGAATCCTGGCTCCCTTGCCTATTAACCAGAAAGATGGGGGATAAGGTACCCACCATATGGGGATGTTTCCAGGAGTAAAGGAACACGTAGAATTCGGTTTGAAACAAAGTGCTTTTCAAATGCTACTTTTAGGTTTCTTTTAATCACTTCCCGCCCCCCACATACCCGTTTTTCTTTTGCCACCTTTTAGATTTTGCCTGTGAAGGTGGAGCTGGAGTCTCCTCTAGGACTTGCAGCTCCAACCTGTGTCAACAGGGGGCGTTGTGAGCGCACATGTCTCCAGCCTGCGGAGGGACGCTTCCGCCCTCAGTAAAGGGAGGAGGAAGATCAAGGCTCGGCGGGGGCGTTGCAGATGGGTGAGCTTTTAGATCCTGCAAGCCAGCACTTGAATCTACTGCATCAGCGGAGCCTGAAAAAGGGCCAACTCCCCAGGCCTGAAGCATAGGCTGCTGAAGCGCGACCACCAGATTGATCATGCAACAGATGAACTAGAAGCAAATTTACCCCCATCCCTTCAATCTAATATGCCAGCAATCAGTTTCCATTTTCCCACATTCCCTTTTGTCCCCGTTAGGTTACTATAGCGAGGCAGCTACTACCAGCATGGTGGGAGTTCCCCATTTTTAAAGGAAGCTTGAAATCCTTAAAATACTGGCAACTGATTCCAAGTTTATAAACTTAAGACTGAACAGCATGTATGTGGGCCTCGTAAGGCCCAGAATTTCAGCACTTCCCTTGTCACTCCTAGGTCAGATAAAACACATGATGCCCAATGAAATTTGAATTTCAGATAAATAGCTCAGTGTAAGTTATGTCCCATGCAATATTTGGCAGATAGTTCAAATTATTTGCTGTTTATCTGAAACCCAAATTCCACTGGGCCCTATTTTTTTTGTTACATCTGGCAACCTCATTCCTGGGAGCACTGGTCTTAAGACAATGGCATCTGTTAAGATAAAGCCCCAATGGAGTAACTTTCATGTTCTCTGTCGACTTGGATTTTTCCTCCAAGGTTGTCTGGGAGGAAACGGGGGTTTGTGAAGTTTCCCAATAGTTTGCAAACTGGCTTCAAAGCCTGGGTGGGTGGATTTGGCACGTCCCCTGATCGATTTCTCCCAGTGTCCCAATGTCAATTAACTGCAGGTCTGTTTCAACTCTCTTTTATCTGTTAGTTGTGGCAGAAACAGACCATCTTGGGCTTATTTATATCAGTGGCATCTTTAAAAAAGAAAAGGAAAAATCTGGATCTTCTCACTTGGCAGGCTCATTTAAGCAAATGGTCCTTCTGCTAAAACAAACTGGCACCTGAGGGCCACAGTTTACAAGTGGGAAGGCTTGGGATGCAGGTGGTCCTAGTGGGCGACGGCATCTTTTGCTCCGATGTTAATTAAAATGATGATGTGTGCAGACTGGGTCTTTGATGTCACTTTTGGCACAGGTTGACCTGATGTGTTTACAGCTAAAGGAGCTACACCTACTGAGTGTCGTGGTATTTATCAGTGTATGCTCGGCTGCCTCAGACATTTCACTGTCCCACTATTTGATCAGTTCCAAACGACCTCACTAAGCCCCATTTCTCCCTACTTGAGTCATCCTCATCACAACCACAATAACAACAGCAACTGCCTTTTATTGAAAATTCCTACCAGACTCCATGCTAGGTACTTTACATGTTACCAATAACTTATTTCTTACCTCAAACCTAAAGGGAGGTGATATTATTAGTTCTACTTTACAGATGAGGAAACTGAGGTTCAGACAGGGGAAATGACTTACCGAAGCCAAACAGTAGTACATGGCCATGCCAATGTCTTGCCGTGGTTGCCCAGATCCTCTGCTTACCCTGGTCCACCTTGCTCAGCTTTCCTGGAGCATGGACCAGCCGCACCTACAGCCCTCAGCCCTGGAGTGGGAGCTTCATCAGGAGATGAAAGGGGGACTGGAGAATGAAACTACCAAATTCTTCCAAAGTGGCTGCACCTTTGTGCATTCCCACCAGCAATGTATGAGTTCCTGTTGCTCTACCCCCTTGCCAACATTTGGTGGTATCAATGTTCCAGATTTTGGCTATTTTGATTGATGAGGAGTGGCATCTCATTGTTGTTTTAATTTGCATTTCCCTGATGACATGATGTGGAGCATCTCTTCACAAACTTATTTGCCATCTGTATGTCTTCTGAATTTTCTAACTTTCTTCAATGTTGTGTTACTTATGTAATTAAAACACATGATAGAGCCCTGACTGGTATGGCTCAGTGGGTTGGGCATTCTTCTGCAAACCAAAAGATTGCCAGTTCAATTCCCAGTCAGGGCACATGCCTGGGCTGTGGGCCAGGTCTCCAGCTGGGGCATGTGTGAGAGCAACCAATCGGTTTCTCTCACACATCAATGTTTCTCTCCCTCTTTTTCTCCCTCCCTTCCCCTCTCTCTAAAAAATAAATAAAATCTTTAAAAATAAGTATTGCACATATTTTTTAAAAGTGACAGTATAAAAGATGATTCTTAGGCAACAAAATTAAAAATAGATAAACTGGACATCAAAATTAAAACTCTTCATATCGAAGGACATGTTCAACCGAGTGAAAAGCCAATCAATGCAATGGGAGAAAATATTTGCAAATCATGTATCTGATAAGGGGTTAATATCCAGAATATATAAAGAACTCCTACAACTCAACAACAAAATAACCTGATTTAAAAATGGGACAATGGGCTTGAATAGACATTTCTCCAAAGAAGATAGACAAATGGCCAACAAGCACATGAAAAGATATTTAACATCACTAATCATTAGGGAAAGGCAAATCAAAACCATAACGCGATACCACCTGACAGCCATGGCTACTATCAAAAAAGCAGAAAGTAGCAAATGTTGATGAGAATGGGAAAATTGAGACCTTTGTGCACTGCTGGTAGGAATGTGGTTTAGCTGCTATGGAAAATGGTACACTGTTCCTCAAAAAATTAAAAATAGCACTACCATGTGATCTACCAATTTCACTTCTGGGTATTCACCCAAAAGAATTGAAAGCAGGGTCTCAGAGATGGTTATACGCCCATCTTAGTAACGGTATTCACAATAGCAAAAGGGGGTAAGCAATCTAAATGTGCAACAACTGATGAATGGATTAAGCAAAATGTGGTATATACATACAAAAGACACATTCTACCACATGGATAGGCTTGGAGATATCATCCTTAAAATAAGTGAGTCACAAAAAGAAAAAAAATAAAAAGTATGATTCCATTTATATAAGGTGCATAGAGTAGTCAAACTCATAGACACAGAAAGTAGAAGGTGGTTACATAACCCAACACTACTGAACTATATACATTTAAAATGGTTAAGATAGTACATTTTATATCATCTTTCTATCACAACTTTTAAAAAAATGTTCAATGGCAACAATGGATTCTGGTGATATGGAAGGAGCAGTACCCATTACAGTGTTAACATAAAAAGTAACTTTCCATGACACACATAGACCTAAAAAGAATTCCACTCACATAACTCGTCTTAGAGCTAGTCCCTCTGGTTTTCACTCTTACGAGTTTACCTTTAGGAGGAAAAGTATTTGTATCTCCTGTTTCATGGCTTAAGGTGTATTTGATAATTTTTAGCCATCATCTGCAAGAGACACAGGAGCTGTTGGAAATTAATTTTTCCCCTACCTTAGCCCCATTTTATGGATTTAGGAAACGGAGTCCCAGAGAGAGAGCTTGACTTGTCCAAGAATACATAGTGGGTTTCTCCTGATATCTGGTCCAAGGTCCTTTTGCACGAGATGGACTTATCCTTAGACTATATCGTTTTCAAAAAAGCTTCCATTTGAAGACAAAGTGGTTTCC